ATATTTCATGAACATTTGGAATATGTGATTGGTTTGGAGCCTGTATTTTAATTTTCAAACAATCTTATGCTAACTCATAAAGCAAAACAATCACATGGTAACTTATATTAAAACAATTTAGTAGTATATACAGTAAAATGTTAAAATCTCCTGGAATTAAGACCATAATTATTAGAAACAGTATTTTTGAATTCTTAGCTTTGCACATATTTTTCTATTTTTGAATATACATTTTTACATGTAAGTGTATAAACATTTAGAAACATATCTATTTAACAAAATATCATGTTTTTTAAGTCTATGTATAGATCTACTGCATTGTTTTAAAAAACTATCTATATGGCATTTAGATATATATGTGTCATTATATTTGTATATATATTTGGTAAAATATGCATAACATATTATTTACCATTTTAAACATTTAAAAAATTTATTTATGTCACAGAACTGGGGTATAGGCTAAAGGGACAGGGGCATTGAAAGAATTCACCAGAGACAGAGTGGGGAACAGAACAGACAGATCGATGAAGTACACTGCTGAGGGGAGCAGCAGGTGGGTCAGCAGAGGTCTGGAATGCCATGTAGGTCAACTCCCTGGCTGGGGATCGAACTGGTGCTGCAGTGGCTTGGGAGAGCTTCATACTGTGGTGCTTTAACCCGTTGTGCCACCAGGGTGAGTTCACCATTTTAATCATTTTAATTTACAATTCAATGGCATAAACACTATCATATATTTAAATTCTTTTAATCACTGATGTATGTTAGAATATTTTCCCAAAATTTAATATTATTAAAAGCAATGCTAAAAAAAAGTTCTCTTGAAAACATACTCATGCATTTTGGCTAATTTATCCACAGGATAAATTTGTAAATTTGGATAGTATATTTTAGAATGTACATATTAGACATTTTTGTTAAATAATTATGCATCAAATAAAAGAATCAATTTGTGGGGAAAATATTACTGTTAGTTAAATTTTAAAATTGCTAATTGCAGTTGAGCATCTTCCCATAAAAACATTTAAGAGATTTGTAAATCCAAAAGTTTCTAAGATAATTCTGAAATAAAATGATTTTCAAAACCCATAGTACAGTGATTTTGAAATTTTTGCTAGGCAAATCACAGATTCATTTATTTGAAATTGGTTACTGGAAGTTTATTGAATTCACTTGGTAGTATCATATTTCCTTAATTTTTCATATTATATTGCTCTCTTCACATTTGAGAAAATAGTCACCTCCTGCCATCTTTACTGACTTTGGGAGAGAAATACTTTCTGTGTGCCTGGTGGATTGGAAGTCTTTCTCAGATCTTTCTATTGGTTCATATGGTCCACACTATTTGTCCCTACTTCCAGTAGAATTCTTAAGGTGTGTGCCTTCTTTCAATCCTGCAAAGCCAGGTTAGGTGTTCATAAAATGCCTTTTGCTTTCCCTTCAGCTATGCTAAATATTTCTATTTTGTCATTTCTCCCAGGCCCATACTAGAGTTAGATCAAGTTTCTGTGCAATTGTCTTCAAAGGCTGTGTCATGCAACTGTTCAGGAGGTGTAGAGCCAATCATATGGTAGGATAAGGGAGTGTATGAGGAGTCAGGCCCACAGAGAGCTGCAGATCTCTGCAAGTCAGTTGGAGGAGTCCACAGATGGGGCATCCCCAAGTGCTCAAGGCAAGGCTTCCTGATGGATTCCACTCCAGTTCATAACACGTGTGTCATGCTGATTCCTACGAGAGCCCTATCGCTCACTTTCCAACTACTCTGACTGCTCCAGTGCACAGTACGACTCTGTAAATCTCTTCAGTGCATCCAGTATTGAGGTTTTTTTCCTAATAGTGTGTTGGAACTCCTCGATGGACTTCCACAAAGTTTCTCTTGTTCTTGGATAATGTTTAAGCTGGTCTTCTCTGGGGAAAACATAGGGGAAAGTTATTATTCTTGTGATGATGTCACTTCAATTTCTTTCTTCATGAACTCCAACTTTTCAGTTCTTTTTGCTAAAATCTATGAGTTTATTTGTCCAAAATATAATCCAAAAGCAGAATTTAAGACTGATGATCTAGTTGTGTCTGCAACCATTTTAATATAAAACTAATTAACATCTGTGTGTTTCTTCATGTTTAAAATTGGGATAGCACTAGAGCTCACATACCCTGCTGTTTGTTAACTATGTAAAGTCATGTGTTCAAGATGTTTAGAAGTATGCTCGGCATTTAATATGTTATCAATAAATAATTATTATACTTTTTCAAATTTGTCTTTTGTTACATATTACTTTATGTAATGGACTTAGTACTTCATCTCATTATTTTACCAACCTTTAAATAGTTCAAATGCATTTAATTTATTATAATTTTTAGATTATTCTTCTGAATGAAGTTTGGGGCATTTAAACCTGCATTTAAAACATAGTCATGGTTGTGTGATTTTTATGTTGAAGCTTGATGTGCAGTGTAGGAATTCTGTGTGCCCTGTACCACTGGCTGTGTTCCTGCAAGGCCACTGTGAGTGCTGTTTTGTCTAAGTCCCAGGAGTATCACTGGCCCAGCCCTGAGACTGTCACTGGTCCAGGACTGATTTTTAAGGTAATTCCTTAGCTGGGGTTTTCCAGCACACACCCATGAGAGGCACAGTTTTGGGGTTTTCTTATTTCAGAGAAAATTTTCTATACTGTCAAGTGTTCAAATAAAGCAAGCTCTTTTTTTACCATCTCTCTGTGCTGGTGAGTGAATATTTCCCTACTAACTAGTAGATTTTATGCAGGTGCTTTGGTTTCGAGTTACTGCCCTTTGCAGAACCAAAGTTTTGGCTCTTCATTACACATTGACTTTAAATGCGTGGCTTATGAAAATTATCCAGTGTGAATTTTCATCGCTACTCTTCCCCAGAGAAGCAGAAATGTCATTTACATTTTTTAACACACTCCTTTCACTTCCTTTAAAAATCTATAATGGGGCAGTTTCCCTTCTTTTTGCCTGTTTAATTATGCACTTAAAATACATAAATTCATCCATCACTGAGTGAACTGAATGAATGAGTGAATATGTCCCCTCACTAGGGATTATAACTGTGAACTGGAAAGGAGCTGTCAGTAGAATATATAGAAGAGTTAGCAATATGATCTTGAGTAAAACCTAGGCCTTGGTTTGTGGTTTTTCTCCACCAGCACAATTTATATTCAACTTCCAGGAACACACAAGAAACAACTTTGTGGGTGGCTTAGTACAGTCAGTTACCATGGTTCTTAGTTTCTCTTGGCCATTGGCCTTCCTGCTTGGAAGCTCATAGTCTGTCTGCCTTGTGGAAATCCACATGCACACAATTAAAACAGAAAGTAGAAACTTTCATATTGAACTTTGACCTCTGGGGCCCTTTTCACACCTGTTGTCCTCAAGGAGTCCTGGCCACTTACCAAGAGATATTTTCACACAGTGGTGGGGGTTGCTTCCAGTTGAAAATGCTGCTGTGAGGCTACTTGGAGTTTACTGTCATTCTGTATGACTGACTCCCCTCTAAGTCTGGGCTCATCTCTACTCCCTCCCTACCAATGGAATGGCTTCTTTAGAAGGATTTATAATAACTTCTGTTAAAACTGAAGAGACTGGTATTTTTCATGATGAAGAAAGAATTGAGCTCTGAAAAGCTGAAGAAACTCAGGGCTCAGTTTTACGTCTGAAACTGAAGCTTAATTCTGCCCTTCTCTGACAGCCAGAACTAACACATGGAGGATTCTTTTAAAAATTGCATTTCTAGAGCATCTCAATCTTCATATCTGGAAGAGAGCTAATGGACAATAGTTTTCAGATTTTCACTCAATCTGAATTCCCTGCCATGTTATTTGACTTGTGTAGAGCCCATAAAAATTCTGGAATTAATTAATTGCATTGTAGAGAAGCTGCTGAGTAGAGGGTTCTAGGTTTGCCTAAATAACATCTGGATAATGTCTACTGAGACAACACCTTTGTTTTCACTAACCTACTCTGTTCCAGAAAACCACCATCAAAAAGAATTAATTAATTATCTTGGATTTGAAATCCCTAGGTTAAGCCCCATTCAATAAAGATATATCGTGTTGTTGAAGATAATTATGGTAGCTATTAAAATTATTCTTATATTAATAATATATGATGTTATTATTATTATAATGAGATGGTCATGATTGCAGGACTACTTCTACTACAGTGCATACAACAATTAC